CATTACCGGTGACAATTCTGTCCAAAAATGGTTCACGCGCGTTACGCGCCAGAAGAGACCACGCAACGTTCACACGTTGGAAACGATGATCATCGGAGAGTTCGTGCAGCACCCAAACACCTTGTTTATGGAGTTTTCCCATATTCCTTAGATGTCTACGTACTGTATCATGAGAGACATGCAATTTCAGGGCCATTTCATAAGTGTGTTGCCTTGGGTTAAACCCAACAAGCGTCTTCAGACCATCAATATCAATTCCAACTTGTCGGCCCCTGCCATCACAGTTTTTAAGACTAAAGTCACCTGAACGAAATTTGCTGAACCATTTTTGACACGAACGTTCAAAACATTTCCATAAACTTCTTTGATATTCTTTGTGGCTACAGAGGCGTTGTTTCCATCCTTCTATTCAAACAGCATTACATGCCGAATGTGTGTCTCGTCGTGTGCCATCACTGTAAGGGATTAGAATATACTAAACTTTACACATCATATAGGCTATACTAACGTGACGTTTAGGCGGTTTCGTTTAATTATTATACGTGATGTAGATTTTTTGGGGGGTGTTTAATGAAAGTATTCCAAAACGCGACATTCATTTCTTGACGACCTAATACAAAGACTAGGCAACTATTTTCAACACTTTCATGTGTCCTGTTTAATCCTACAAAGTATTCTTTTGTGATGTTGGCTACAATAAATGCCAACAAATATACTTTTGATCTTTATTCTGTCAACCCCCAAAGTCTTTTTATATTGAATATTTGCATCGTTGTTTTCGCTGACGTTTTAGGATAAAGATTACTCATTTCAAAACCAAAATTTATTCTGCTTGTTTTTATAATATCAGTGTACTTATAATTAAAACCAACGATAAAGTAGACGCACTAGATTTGTATGGATCATGTATTTGCACTTAAACCATTTTATAATTCTGAAAAGGCAGTGGTGAAAAACTTGAAGTTCGGAAATCAAATGACAAGAAATTTTGAAGCATTTCACGTAGAAATCTCAAGGCAGGATTAGTCTCTTACAAGTTTTAGTATATATTTTCAAAACTGATACAGCATGAAATGGTATGAAATCGTAGCAAAAGTTCGTTTTCTTTTGTTCTTTACCTTTTAATTCTGAAAAAGCAGTTGCAAAAAATATTCACCTCAGGCCGAAAATAGCACAGTATCACCAGGAAATTCTGAATTTTTGTTGTTTTTTTTGTTGTTGAAACAGCAATATCGGGAAAATCTGAAATTCGAGCAGCAATGCAGAAAATCAGCAGGATATTGCAAGTCCGGGAGTTAGACTCTGAGAAAATCTGTTTTATTACCCTGAAATGAAATCAGTGAAAAATGGCAGAAATTTATTGCAATAGTTTGTGTGGTATATAAGAATCTCTTATGTCTAGTACTTGAAGATAGCTTTTATATGCGGGAACATCTGTTAACTGAGTTCTTGCACAGATCTTAAAATATAACGTTGATAAACGGAA